ATATAGTGTCTATTGCATATAGGACCTTCTTTTTTTTAAGGCATCTTAGTATGTAGGTTCATCCTTGGAATTCTTCTCTGATCGTTTATTGTTAAGTTTGTTGATTGGTGGTATGTGAAGTCTAACTGGTCAGTTTGTAAGAGCTCGTCATGATGTCCATTTTAATATACTTGTAAGAGCTGCTCTCGTGAAAATAGGCATCGGGCAACTATCACATGAGGTGCTTCCTTGATCACATCTGAAACGAGTTACGTGTCTAATAATAATCGAGGTGTGATAGCTACAGGTAATCATTCTAAGACTGAACATTCTCTGGTGAAATAAGGTCGGCCATCCAGATAACTTCTCAGCTTGTTAAAAATTAAAACCTTTTTCGGGATGATTCACACCTCAAGTAATGAGCTTTACATTGGCGTATAGTTAATGTTAGTAAGTGATTGGTGTAGAAGTTCATAGAACGGAGTAAGTTCATCATAAGTATTGGGCCTGAATTGCGGACGAAAATTTCATTTTTTGCTAAGAGAAAGTGATGAACGAACTTATATTAATTCCGTGTGATATAAAAGTGGGAGAAATAAGGGCTGAGTTGTGCACGAAGAGAATTTATTTTTATCATCATCTTGTTAGTGCCGAGCTCATCTCAAACTGATTTGGGGAGATTTGTGGATCAATCAATTAATAGATTTTTTCAATATTCATGAAAATAAAATTTTAGGTATTGCGTGTTAAGTATCTATTTTAAGCTTGTACATCAGTTTTTCTCATGGTAAATATTATTTTGATCCTACGCCCAAAAATTATTTTTGGTACATGATTTGGCCAATATTCGTGTCTGAAACTTCATACATTATATATGGTAACCATGTTGCAACTTGGTAACAAATCTTTTTGTTTTGGAGAGAACGGTTTTGTAGCTGGCACTAAGTGTTGATCAAATTTGAATTTCAAATTTGCCGAGTTGAACCATCTTCAAACCAACCTCGATAACTGAAATTGCGGTTCCCTATATTCATCATACCACCTTTTGCGGTTCCCAACTCTCTAACATTCCTTCTTCACGAAATTCTCTATTTCTCGACAATGCCTAAATCCAAGCAGGGCACCGTGAAGC